GAGATTTTCACTGTTCCCACTACATTATGTTCCCAGTTTTCAAAAAAAAAAAAATTCAATACTGTATTTTTCCCATCAAATGGGTTATATTTGTACACTTACCCTCAAGTTAATCCACTCTGCTCTTAGTGGTTAAATATTAGTTGGAGCTGTAAATGTGTAGTTAACTACCTCTCTAGCTAAAGTACTCGCTACCTTAAAACTTACTCGGTAGTATTTTTAATCAAATTGAGTAGAGAGCTTTAAAGTTAGGTAAGGCTTAAGTGAAAACGTGAATAGCTTATAGACACTGTCATGAATTTCTGCATACATATCTTCAGTGATGAAATGTCAACAGCCATTTAACCTGTTGGGTTTCCCTTCCATGTAGTTCGTTTGTCCGCTCTGTAGCTTGAGAATGCTGTGATAGGTGGATTTGTTACTCAGGAGATACCTGGTGAGTTTTAAGCTTGCTGGAAGTATAACGAATTGCTCTGTGTTTTCTGCTATTCTCCAGTGTTGAGGTTCACAGGTGCAGTTCCACTCTGTGCTTTTTTTTTTTTTTGGTGACTTTACATTAATTTTCAGATAGTAACTTGTGGATCGTTGTTGGAAGTATTTCTGACACATAATAAGTCAGTATGTTGCTCCCTTTCAGGCTCCACTGTGTAGATGGCACTGTTACTGTTGACTTTCCTTTGAAACGCAGCCTGGGAGTGTTAGCTAGCTGGTCCTTCGCATGGAACAGCACTTCTCTGTTGTCGTACGTGTGCTCGCACGCTTCTTGTGTCTTCACACAGTGCCTTAAGCCTGTTTGAGAACCTCCTCCTGATTTACAGAACTGCCCATCAGTGTGTGTTTCTGGTAGTATTGAGAAGTGGAGAGTCCTCACTACGACAACTTATTTAGAAATAATTCTTGTTGATAACCTATAACAAAACCCTCATGAAGAAGGGAGTGAGTTTCTTCATTGTTCTTCACACGGGGTAATATATAAATTATTGTATCTGCTATTACTTTAGAAAAAGGAAAGCTTGCTATTAGAAGTCTGGGTTTCTTTGTCGACTTGGTTTTTAGTTAATGTGTTCTTTTGGTAACCTTTTTATCATTTCATGGGACTGTAAAGCAGTTCAGGAAAAGCAGGTTAATAGAAGAATATAGACTCTAAAGTGTTCTAAAAGATGTGGGTTTTGGTCCCAGTGGAGCCTGACACTCCAGCCTACTTACTGTAGCTGGAATGTATTGATTTTCTTCTCCCCCATTTTAGCAGCACCACTGAATTAGGTATTGTGAAGCATCTTTCCCTGTGAAGAGAGGAAAAACTGTCATGAACTTTTTCACCCTAACAGTACAGCATTTCAAACCAAACCCGACTGAATGGAAAAATCTGTAAGGACTCTTAAAAACCATGTAACGCAGCTCCCCGCTCTCGTTTCTCGCCCTCCAACAACTGTTCCAGCCATCTTCAGGAAGTGTGATAGATGGTTGTCAGAAATTAACTTTTAAATCTTTTTTCATTAAAAACAACAACGACGACGATGGTGATAATCTGTGAAAATGATGCATTTCCGTGGCATGATCTCCTAAGGTTAGCGAAGTGGTCTTGTTCGGGTTT